TGAATTTAAATATGAGTCTGGTTACAGCCCAGTAAAAATCCAAATTAAATTGTAATTTCCAATTATAATCCAAATTTAAACAATATTCAAATTAGAAATGTACAAAATTCCAATGGATTGAAATATAAATCCTGTTTGGTAAGAATCCAAATTAAAATGTAGTTTTCAAATATAATCCAAATGAAAGTCATATTCCAATTGGCACTTTACTGAATTCTAGTGGATTGAAATAATCTAGTCAAAAGCCAATAAGAATTAAGATTATATTCCAATTTGAATTTTACCGAATTTCAGTGGATTGGCATAGAAATCTATTTATAGACTACCAAAAATCCAAATTAAATTGTAGTTTCCAAACATAATCCAAATGGAAATCATATTTCAATAGGAATTTTATAGAATTCCAGTGGGTTGAAATAAAGGTCTAGTTACAGACCAGTAAAAATACAAATTAAATTGTAGTTTCCAATTATAATCCAAACTAAAATAATATTCATATTAGAAATGTACAAAATTCCAATGGATTGAAATATAAATATTTAAATTCTAGTAAGAATCCAAATTAAGATGTAGTTTTCAAACACAATCCAAATTATTCCAAATGGAAATTATATTCCAATTGGTATTTTACCGAATTTCAGTAGATTGGAATAGAAATCTAGTTACAGAGTAGTCAAAATCCAAATTAAATTGTAGTTTCCAAACATAATCCAAATGAAAATTATATTGCAAACAGAATTGTACTAAATTCCAGTGGATTCAAAATAGAAATATAGTTAAAGGTCTTTTAGTTTACAATCACAAACCAAATGGAAATATTTCAAAATTTCCTAAGAAAAATAAATAAAATAAAATTATATTCCAATTTGAATTTTACTGAATACCAGACGGATTAGAAATAAATCCAGTTGAAGCCCAATAAGAATCTAAATTACATTCCAATGTAATTCTAATCGGCTAAGATATTTGACGACCGTGACATTGACACATCTTCCTTTTATCAAAATTAAATTATATGTATTTTTGTTAACTGTGTTAAGGCCTCAAAATTATTTTATTGTAAGTCTTTACGTTAAATACACAAAAAAAAAGTGATAAATATCGATGTAATAAACAACGTTTGTTGCAATAATAATAAAATAATTATGTGATAATTATATCTTTATTAATCCGTATCCGTTATATGTGGAACAGTTTTACTTTACGATTTAAAGAAATATAATACAGGGTGATTCGGTTTATTACACCTTGCAGCCAGCATGTGTGTCAATATTGAATGTTTAAAAAAATGCATCTATTAGCTTTTACTCTCCTTTCTCTTGAAATGCAGTATTCAAACTACCAACTCTTAACTCCCTTGTTATTAGAGGTACAAAATCGCCTAACTTTACAAAGAAATTCTGGATTTTTGATTAAATGTATTTCGGAATTTAATAAGAGCGGGACAGAGCATTAGTATTAAAGTTGTTACCAATATTGCTAAGATCAAATAATTAATAAAAATATAACAAAGATGTTCCATATTCTGGTTCTTAATTACCTAGGAAGTAAAAATGGTGTTCCGCAGAGTTCAGCCTTGGGTCCTTTCCTTTCTTAATTTATGTAAATGCTATACATAACATTTTTGACAGCAGTGTTTTTACAGTTTTAACTAATTTATCAGTTTATGCCTGTATATGACAACCCAGTATTTCCAAATTGTATCGTGTTTACAGTTCGCGATATGTAACATTTAGAAGAAATGTAACCAAATAACGATGACTTTGGCATTAGTTTCTTATCTGGAAAACGGATGTGGCAATTGCTATACTTATTATTTCAGCACACAACACTTTAAGTACCTAATATGTATATGATGTTGATGACTATAAACTTTTATGCCATAAACCTTAGATTGACCTAGATATGCAGATAAAACCAGATATTTGTTTACGAACCTAATTCCTTATCTCAGCGATCTAATAAAAAATCTGCCAATTTTGTTAACAATAAAACAGTGCGGGTCCGTAGAGAACCTGAAAGAAGCCAACATTTGTATTCTGTTAATCATAATGCAGCATAGCAAGTTAACGTTTTTTTAAAGAATTTTCGCTTCCCATGTAAACGTTTTTGACTACGCCGGTGCCTATCTCCTCCAAGACTTTATCAGGAAGTCATAAAATTTAAAATCGCAATCAAGGAAAAAAACGCTTGCACTTCGTTATGTTTTCGATTCACCTACATTTTCAGAAAAGACACAGGCGGTATTTGAAGTTGTCATATTTCTGCACAAATGTAAGTTAATAGCTAAACGTATTAACCATTAGTCTAGTTAATTGGAATCGTGTGTTACAATGCACTTGTTCAGTTCATTAGTTCGTTTATATTCAACACGTGTTCCATATACTAGTTTTTACTTTCAAGGCTAACCTGACCGATACACTTTACATCACCTGTTACATCTCGTCACTGCAACTGATTGCACTGATTGCATCTGAACATCTAGACAGGTTGAAAGTATTTGTTGACAACACGGATACCATCATCAATTACCTATGTGGATTAAAAGTGCTGTTTGAATCCCTAGTTTTGTCACCTTTAATCACTAAGGTATTTAATTTTTCATTCTTGCATTTTGTTACAAAGATGCACTTGACCTAGTTTCAGACAGTGTCACTTTCAACTGGATTAAAAGTGATGTTCTGTCACTTTTAATTCGAGCCTCAGAGAATAAAATGCCACCTTTAATCACTAAGGTATTGATGTACTTTTTTATTAAAAGTACACTTCTAATATCTGTATCATAGAACCTAGTTTCAGAAACAAGTATCAGTTTAAATATGCAATTTCATATAGCAACGTCATTTTTAACGGAATTAAAAGTGCTGTTGTAATCTAGTTTCGAGAAGTCACTTTTCATCCCTAGTTTCAGATAATAAAACATATTTAATAACTAAGGGATTCAATTTATTTTCCTGCACTTTTTTTTATTAAAAGTGCCATTCTAATCTCCATCTCAAAGAGTCTAATTTCACAACAAAAATGTTACTTTTAATCCCAGATGAGTTAAATGTGTATTGTAACTTTGAATCCATAGTTTCCAGTTTCAGAGAATAAGTTGTCGGATTTAATCAATAAGGACTTTTTTGCACTTTTTTTTATTAAAAGTGCAGTTCTCATATCTAATTTTAGAGAAGCATGTTTAAAAAATTCAAGTGTCACTTTTAGTCCCCAGTTTTAGAGAGAAAACTGGATTAAAGGTGACGTTTATAGGTGCCTAGATTCAGGGAGAAAAGTGTCACTTTGAATCTCCAGTTTCAGAGATTAAAGTGTCATTTTAAATAGATTAAAAGTGCTGTGACGTGTCACTTTATCCCTAGTTTCAGAGAATAAAATGTCAGTTTAATCACTAAGCGGTTTACTTCCTTGCACCTTTTTATTTAAAGTGCAGTTCTAATTTCTATCCTGGTGATCTAATGTCAGAAAATAAAATGTATCTTTTAACTAGATTAAAAGTGCTGTTCTAATCACTAGGTTTCATGTGGTAATATTACCTTTAATCACTAAGGTATTCAATTTGCTTCCTCGCATTTTGTTACAAAAATGCACTTGACCTAGTTTCAGACAGTGTCACTTTCAATTGGATTAAAAGTGCTGTTCTATGTCACTTTTAATTCGAGTTTTAGAGAATAAAATGTCGCCAGGCATTCTTGCCTTTTTATTAATATCTTATTAAATTTATTTTTCTGAACATTTTTTATTAAAAGTGTCTAATTTCACAACGTAAAGTGTTACTTTTAATCCCAGTGGATTAAAAGTGATGTTCTAATTCCTAGCTTCGTGACGTAAATTGTACTTTTAATCCATAGTTTCATAGAATAAATTGTCGGATTTAATCAGTAAGGACTTTCCTGCACTTTTTTTTATTAAAAGTGCAGTCCCAATCTCTAATTTTAGAGAGGCATGTTTAAAAAATTTAAATGTCACTTTTAGTTCCCAGTTTTAGACAGAAAAATGTAGTTTTTAACTGGATTAAAGATGACGTTTGTAGGTGCCTAGATTCAGGGTCACTTTTAATACCCATTTTCAGATACTACAGTGTCACTTTAAATGGATTAAAAGTGCTGTGAAATGTCACTTTATCTCTAGTTTCAGAGGATAGAATATCAGCTTTAATCACTAGGGCTTCCTTGCACTTTTTTTATTTAAAGTGCAGTTCTAATCTCTGTCCTAGTGAGCCTAGTTTCTGAAAATAAAGTGTCTCTTTTAACTGGATTGAACGTGCTATTCTAGTCCTTGGTTTCATGGCATAGCGTCACCTTTAATCCGTAGCATCAGGAAGTAAAGTGTCATTTTTAATAGGATTAAAAGCGCTGTCCCAAATTTATAGTTTGGCGACGTAAAGTGTCACTTTTACCTAAATTCAGAGAATATAACACCAACTTTATTCACTATGAGATTAAATTTAGTTTCTCGCCCATTCTGTTAAATATGTAGTTTTAATCTACACTTCAAGGAGCCTAGTTTCAAAACGTTATGTGTTGGGTTTAATTAAATTAAAAGTGCTATTCTAACGTCTAAGGCACTTTCTTTATTAAAAGTGCAGTTCCAATCTCTACCTCACGGAGCTTAGTTTCAGAAAGGAAACTATCATTCTTAACATTAATAAATGGATTAAAAGTGTTGATTTAATTCCTAGTAAGAGTGGAAAGTGCCACATTTAATTTCTAGTTTCAGAGAATAAAACGTCAGCTTTAATTACTAAGAGATTTACTGTCTTGTACTCTTTTTATTAAAACTGTACTTTTGATCTCTAGTTCGAGGAGTCTAGTTTGAGAAAATAAAGTCACTTTTAACTAGATTAAAAGTGCTCTTCCAATTTCTGATTTCAAAGAGTGGTTATGCCAGCTTTAATCATCGGTTTCATAGAGTATGATCTATATTTTTATCTATATTTGGAATAATTGTAATAAAGTGTAATATTTGATCAAATTTTCTTATAGAAGACATTTCTTTTCCAGGGCGAGTGGCCAAAAAACGGAGAACTCCACAGAAAGCAATGGCCAAACATTAGGTTCGACGTTAGCCTACGAAAACCCAGCCATCAGCGTTTCTTCCACCAGCATCAACCATCTTCATAGGAGAGATTCCGGCATTTTAGGCAGCAACAACTTCTTAGGTAAGTCCAACCAAACTTATGAAACTGCTATGAAAATAATGACTTTCTTTGTATTCTGCAGTGGTAGACCAGACCAAGAGCACCTTCAAAGAAAAACTGAAAAAACTAGTGAAGTGCTCGAGGAAGAAATGCCAACACGCATTGACCAAGAAAACCCTCTTCAAGAGGCTGCCCGTTCTGTCATGGTTGCCAAACTACAACATGTCATACGCGGTGGGCGACTTGGTGGCGGGGATAACAGTCGGTTTGACTTTGATCCCGCAGGGACTGGCATACGCTGGGATAGCGGGGTTGCCGCCAGAGTACGGATTGTACGGATCCTTCTTAGGGTGTTTCATCTACATAGTATTCGGTAGCTGCAAGGACGTGTCCTTCGGGCCGACCGCGATTTCATCGCTGTTGACGTTCCAGGCTACCAACGCGTTGGGGCCGGAGCACGCGATCCTCCTTTGTTTTTTCACGGGCTTGCTGCAGATAGTCATGGGCCTCTTTGGACTGGGTGAGTCGAAGTTACGAAAAATAATGTTAGGGGAGAAACTGGAAATATCTTTTTGGAAACTTTCATAAAATGTTGACATTTTAATTCTGTTTCCTAAAAGTAAAAAAAGACGCTGTAGTTATGCCAAACGAAAAAACTTCGTTACTTTTGATTTTGGCAATTAAGAAGTCCTAAGAGCCATCTACAATTTTTATTTGGCAAAAATCACGTGTAGCATCTTAAAAAATTCATTACGCAATTCTTCTATATTTCTATCTAATGAGCGTTCAAATAAAAACGTGGTCGAAGTTGGCTCTGACACATTGGACGGAGGGAGTAGCTTATAGCGACCAACTTAACCTCATTTCTCAACGAGCTGTATAGCAGCTGTCAGTTTCAATAACGTTAATGACTATATAACTTTATTTTAAAGAATAATCGTGATAACAATAACAAACAATTAAAGGAGCTGCGGAAAGTGTCCCCCTCCTTGTTATAACAATAAATTAAAGCAGCTGCTGAAAGTGTCCCCCTCCTTGTTCCAAGCACTTTTCACACCTGTTCCTCAAAGAATTAAAGACATTTTCTAAGATGCTCGGGGTATTGTTAATTTCACGAATCTTGTCTATAAGTCGAGCCTGCAGATGGTTTAAATCAGGAATAGGCAGTTCAAAAATAGTGTTTTTAAGGTAAGGCCACAAAAAGAAATCACACGGCGTAATATCACATGACCTCGGTGGAAATTCATGTTCAGCATTGAGACTTATTAGTCGATTTTGGAAAACTTCCCTCAACATATTCATCGTCTCGCCTGCCGTATGTGCCCTTGCGCCATCTTGTTGAAAGTAAAAGTTTGTAATTTCGTTTTCTTCCAGCTGGTTAACAAAAGGAGCGATAATTTCTTCTCTATACCTTTGCGCAGTAAGAGTACCATTAAAAAAAATAGGTCCATAAATCCTCCTTCGATTGAGAGCACACCAAACTCCAATTTTTTGAGCGTGTAGAGGGCCCTCGACAAAAAAGTTATCTGGTTTTTCAGAAGACCACATTCTCATATTCTGTGAGTTTACGTAACCACTTAAATGAAACCAGGCTTCATCAGAAAAAAAGGTGATATTATGAAGTTCACCGTAGTTGTTTAAAAACCATTCACAAAATACAGCCCGTCGCGGAAAATCAACTTCATGAAGTTCTTGCTGACAAGTTAAACGATAGGAGAACAAACGCAAATCTTTTTTTAACACTGTGTGGCAGGTACCGACTGATACTCCCACCATTTGTGATAAAACACGTACAGAAGTTCTTGGCGCATTTTCCATTATTTGTTGGACATTTTCTTTTAATTCTTCAGTCCGCTTTTTAGGTCGGCCGCTTCCTTCTTTTCTTGTTACACTGCCCGTTTCACGAAAAACATTAACACAACGCTGAACTGCACTTTGAAAAATTTTGTACTCAACAACGCCGGGAAATTGATTTTGAAATTCTATGAAACATTCCTCAATAGAATACTTCCATATTCCATCAATCTTGCGTCCATTTCTAAAGTAGGACTCTATGATAAACACTTTTTGTTCTTGAGAAAACACCATTTTAAACGCTTTTTAAAACGAAAATATTCAAATTGATAGCGGCGATATAGCGCTTTGACAGATGACGTTTAAGTTCATTTGCTATACGCTACGCCCTACGTCCAAATTTTCAGAACCAACTTGACCACGTTTTTATTTGAACGCTCGTTATAATATCACATTTATTTTATATAAATATCACAAATTGGCATCTGTCAAGCTGACATTTTGGACAAAACAAGAAAATTGATTGCAGTACGTCAATATAGGGATTTTATGTTTTATATATTGTCTATCTTTATCCAAGACTCTCTGTGGCACTACAGTCGCTAGATAACATACTAGTGACTGTATGTAGCACCATGATGATGCGCCATCTGTTGTTCTCTTCTCATATGTTTCATTTCTTTAGATAAATAATAGGTGGCGCTATAAATATTGACAAAATTCGAATCTCCGTTGCCTGATTTCAATCAACGAAGCCACAAGTGTGGGTGTTTGGTGTTTGTCCTGTCACAACTTTAAATATATTTTAACTAAACAAAACCATTTTTTTTTGTAAAAATCAAGATTTTCTGATGTGTGCCTTATTCTTTGAACGTTACATCTAAATGAATTTTAAAACAAATTAAATTTAAACGACATAAAAGATGCCACTGGTAAAATTATAAATAAAAGTTTTTTCTTCTTGTTAAAGTCGATATTTCCTTAAAAACTTTTCTAAATTAACATAAGAACTAATTAAGTTAATTTAATTAACATTAGTAGAAAGGAGCACACCTCGTTTGTCTTTGTCTAGATTTATTTTATCTGGAAAATAGACCAGACTATTACAATAAATAAATGTAAATCAATCATATTTATCTCTCGTTTGTTTTAAATTATTTGCACCTAGATTCATATATAAATCAGGTACGTATATCAAAACAAAACATAGTGAGGCTTTTTTGAAAAAAATTGAATGCTGTTTACCAAGCTTTACAAATAATTTATTAACTATGTCTAGTAGGTATAATAAATAATTGTTGGTTGTAAAACTACATGTCATTAATTGTGTTTGATTATTTGAAAATATGGAATTAATCTAGTAGATTAAAAGACAAAAGATTAAAAATAGTAATAAACAATGGAAAATGTTTAGTACTTATCTAAAAGAAATAGAACAAAATAGTGTATTTCATACAGCTGTTACATAATTGGTTTACTTGCTTCAATATTAAGACCATACTTATTTGCAATAATTATTTTTTGATGGACTATTAAGTATCGATGCCAATTTCAAAGATTTTGAACTTAGATTTGAAACTTAACAAAATCTTAGAGTTCTTTGGACAATATATCCAATTAACCCATATTGCCTTATGGATTTTTGAGCAACAAGTTGTGATACTGCACTTTTTGCGCATTCAATTTTCATTTCTTAAAAAATACATTAGACTTTCCTCTTCATTCATACTTAACACCTCGTCATAATACGCATTTCAACTGGTTGTTTAATCCAATGACTTCCTTAGATGGCTACCAAAAATTTTCCATTGTGTATTACGCTACTTTTAATTTTTTCTATTAATCTATTAATTCCAAATTCTCAAATAATCAAAAATTATTTCCGACATGTAAGGTTTAAGCAATAATTATTTATTGCACCTACTAGGTATATGTCTATCAGCATTTATTATTTATTGCACCTATTAGGTACGTCTAATAAATTTTCTTTAAAGCTAGATAAACAGCTTTCAATTTTTTTTCCAAAAAATACTCCGTGCTGATACACTACTCTGTTTTGTTTTGATATACCCACCTGATTTACTGATGTAGATGCAAATAGTTTAAAACTTACAAAAGATAAGTATGATTGATTTACTAATAATCAAATTTGTATAATACGCTCCTACCTTAATCTCTATTATTGATTTATAAATTTATTATAGTAGTTAGATGTTCGTGATACTGATACTACAACAATCTGGGCTTATTATACTGCTTTCTTCTTTACAGAAAACAAACAAGATCTGCTTCTTTCTATTAACTTTATTAGAATAAAATTAAAGTATTTTTATATAACTTTCAAAGAATTTAACAAAAATCAAAAAAATTGTATTTATGACCGGTCTGGCGATATTTTGAATATTTTTATAATAGAAAAAATTTGAAAATATATTCAATTTCGGAAAAATTGCGTCCCTTCTTTCTAATTCAAAATTCAAACACAAAATCTCTAAATTCAAGTACTCACACATGCACCATTATGTGGCAAAATATGTAATTCTACAAAAAAAATTGAAATAATTTTATTCAAATGTACAGCGCCATCTATTATTTGTAGAATGAAGTGTAACATTAGAGAAGAAAACAACAGATGGTGCTCTCCATGACTACAAAATCGGGCGGAAAAACGTACCAGTTCATAAATTAGGGGACTTTCACTGCATCTGAAGCGCCATCTATCGTTGATTATATAAATCACAAAGTGCCAAATGAAAATTATAGGTGTCACTACTCACATTCCTATCTGGAATTATTTTAATTTTCCACACAACAAAACAGTTATGTGTACCTATATTTTTGTAAATAGATTTTAAATTGTCCGCAAATTCTTTTATAAATTGGTTTACAAAGAACTAGCACTAGTATCGATAAAATAGTGCTGGTGTCGCTATATACAGGGTGTTTCAGGATTAAGTCGACAAACTTTAAGGATATTCCTCATAAAAAAATGAGAAAAAAATCAAGTATAAATTTTTTTCCAGAGACGCTTCAATTTCGAAATATAGGGCCTTCAAGATTTTTAAAAAAAATCGAATTTTTTAAATAACTTCTAAATGAAGAAGGCTATTTAAGCCAAATTTGGCATGACACATCTTCTTATAAGATACCATTTTTCCATACAAGTAGAAGTACCGCAAGCAACCAGTGGCGGAATTATGGGGAATCACTCAATAAATTATAAAAAAAAATTAATGCGGCCCTATTGAAAATAAAAAATGATACTGTTTTTAGATAGAATAGTTTGTTATTGACAAAAAGTGTACATTCACTTTTTTCCTAACTCTGATAGTTTCATAGCAAAATTGGTAATTTTTTGGTCGTTTCAATTTACAAATAAATTTTCATGTATTGTTTGCCATCTTATTTTATTCCTAAATAATTTTAATACTATTCGTTAAACCCAAGGGAAGGGAAGACAAAAAGGCTTATTTGACTCTCACATACTCCAGATTAAGACCAATTTTAATAGGTACTATATTTTTTTAGGTCTTCCTAAAGTTTATCGACAGAATCCAGAAGCACCCTTCCGAAAAATCAATTTTGCCATGAAACTATAAGAGTTAGGAAAAAGTGAATGTACACTTTTTGTCAATAACACACTGTTCTATCTAAAAACAGCATCATTTTTTATTTTCAGTAGGACTGCATTAATTTTTTTGATAATTTAATGAGCCTGAGTCTCCATAACTCCGCCACTGGTTGCTTGCGGGACTTCTACTTCTATGGAAAAATGGTATCTTATAAGATGTGTCATGCCAAATTTGGCTTAAATAGCCTTCTTCATTTAGAAGTTATTTAAAAAATTCGAATTTTTTTAAAAAACTTTAACTTTGATATTTCGTAAATGAAGCGTCTGGAAAAAAATTTATACTTGATATTTGTCTTATTTTTTTATGAGGAATATCTTCTTAAAGTTTGTAGACTAAATCCTGAATGACCCTGTATAAAGTACAGTGGGCATCAATAGAGGTGAAACAATGACAAAAATATAAATATTAACATTTTTCGAATATTTTTTTTGTGAAAATTCCGCAAATCTTCATAATTTCCTTTGATTAATGACAAAATATTTATCATTGACTCTCACAATCTTTAAATGGCAATGATTATTATTAAATTTATTAAACTGATGAGCAAAACGTAATACTTTGAGAAAAATTACATCGCTAGATCTGGAAGACGGTCTAATAATCGCTTCATGTACATTTCACTGATTTCACTTATTTATATTTACTCTCCTTATTTTCAATATTTTCATCCTGATAATTAAAATGATTATGAATGTTAAATTGCAGATGTGCCATCTTTCAGATAGATGCCAAAGTTTAATATTTAACGGTGTGGTAATAAGTCTCGTTAAAAATTATTGAAAATGACACAGATGTTGGACGTAATGTTTGAAAATAATTTTGTACTTAGACCTTAGATTTATGGCGCAATTTCAGACAATATTTTCAAAAACGTTTTTTTGTTATCTTATACTTGGGTAATAAGGCCTTTTCATCACGATATTTGAGATTTAGTGGATATAAGTACTTATATTTTATTTTCTAATGCATTTACATTTAAAAAAAATGTCTTCCTTACTTATTCCAATCTTTTATCCCACAACACAAACCAGTTTTAGTTGTTAACTTGTACCGGCATTAAAATTATTCTTGAAAATATGTCTACATTTTCAGATACTTTGAATTCCCTCTTAAATTTAAACGATTTTTTTTTTTAGGATTTTTGATAGACTTTGTGTCGGGCCCCGTATCCTCAGGATTCACATCGGCTTGCGCCCTTATCATCGTCACGTCACAAGTAAGAGACGTCTTAGGCATCACAGCCTCAGGTACCACATTTATACGAACTTGGAGGAGCATATTTCAGGACATACACAACACCCAACCGTGGGACGCAGTCATGGGAATATCTTGCATCGTTATACTACTCATAATGAGGGTAAGATACTTTTTTTTTAACACGAGCAAAGTAAATTTGCTTGTTTCTCATTATCTTTTTTGTATAGATTTTTATTTTTCAAATGTTTTATTTATTTAAAGAAAGTATACGACCATGAGCAACATTAAAAAATGAGTCGATTCTACACACACCTGTACAAAAATTTAACATTAATTTTTTACCACCGGACCTGATATCATCGAAACAACATAGCATTTTTTTGTAAAATTAGGAAGAGATAAACGGAGAATCGACCCATTATTAGTTACACATTTCAACCATTGACCATTTTGCGATAATCACAATTATTCCCTTATCTTTCAGTTTATCGGCTCTATCAGCTTAGGACCGAAAGGACCAGACGCGCAACCAACGACCTGCCGCAAAATCGTCAACAAATTTCTCTGGTTCATAGGCACCGCCAGAAACGCCATTCTAGTCATCGTATGCGCCGTGATTAGTTACATCCTTTGCCTCAGCGGGCCGCCACCGTTCGTAGTGATTGGTGATGTTCCCCCCGGCTTACCTTCCGTTAAAGTGCCACCTTTCGGTGGGTTTACCAGAGAAGTGAACGGGACCGAAGTCGAGTTCACCTTTTGGGACATGATGGGGAACTTAGAGAGCGGTATCATCGTGATGCCACTACTTGGGTTGCTGGAGACGATCGCTATCTGTAAAGCTTTTTGTGAGTACCCACGTTATGTTACTCCTCTCACTTTGAAAGCGAATTACCAACAAAAAATGAGAAAGGGTGTCATATTTCAAATCTGAACACCCAAATTTTATTTATTGGTCAGATTTTTTTTTTAAATGTAGAATACCAAAAACTCACAAGTTTCCATTAAATACAAAATAATAAATTGATGATATTGAAGTTTATGAAATAAATTTGTTTCTGTATGTAGCAAACGGAAAGCCCGTAGACGCAACCCAGGAGCTCTACGCGTTGGGCTTCTGTAACTTCGCGAATTCCTTCGTCCAGGGCTTCCCAGGTGCCGGAGCTCTGGCTAGAAGCGCCGTTAACAATGCCAGCGGTGTAAGGACCACCCTGGGAGGGCTCTACACCGGTATTCTAGTCATAGCGTCTCTCCTGGTATTCACCCCGTACTTCTACTACATTCCGAAAGCCTGTCTTGGGGGCATCATCATAGCGGCCGTCATCTTTATGGTGGAGTTCAAAGTTATTAAGCCGATGTGGAGATCGAAGAGTGAGTAGCCAGTTGGAAATCAGTTTTTTGGGTTGCTCATTAGAAGAATAATGTATAAAAAAATTCTGTTTGGTTTAAATTTCAGAGATTTTGTTTTTTTTTTTTTACAGAAAGTTGCTTTGTGGTTGCCCTCATAACATTCATAGCCTGCTTGGTGCTACCTTTGGAAATCGGTATACTGGTAGGAATCGGAGTGAACTTGCTGTTCATTTTGTATCATGCTGCTAGACCAAAAATCAGTGTTGAAAAACTCCAGGTAAATAAAATTATGCTTTATAACAAATCATCTTTTTTTATAACACAGTTAATTCTTTAAAATGAATTTTGCCAAAATTTGGAAAAGTAATGACCATCTCATTGAGACTTACTAGACGTGTCAGCGCTTGTCATAAGCATACAAGTGGGAAAGATTATTGTCGTTATTATTTTCACATTTTTAGTGTAGGGCTTTTAGTTCACCCATATTCGTTTGCATTCTTCGATACTATACGAGGTACTTAGAGAACTATGAAAATAGTATTACTAGGAGGTATATACAAAGGGTGTCCCACGGGGGAACTGCGTCGATCGATATCTAGGAAAATACTGCTCTGAAAAATTTGAAATGGCAACATGGCAATGTTCCTAGGGTGAACACAACTAAAATATCTATAACTCTCAGTACTTCCGGTTATACCGGAAATCGACACCAACTTCGTTATTTTAAATGGGACACCCTATGTTTTATTGTATTTTCAGATTCTACGTGAAATTTGAGGGTCACTTTATTAAATATTCCCTATATCTAGGGGTTATAGATTTTGAGCTATTTTTAAAGAAAAAATTTGGCAGATGCAAGGGTCCGCGGAAATGCTAGTAACTCTTTTTATTAGCATGATATCAAGCGGATTTTTGGTACCTTTAAAGGGCATAGATAACGCTAAATTATGGTATACCAACAAATTAAAACATTTAATACTAGGTGTTTCATGTTTGCTGTTATAATTTGATAACTTCAAACAGCTATAACTTTGTTAACTTACGAGTAAATGGAACACCTTGTATTTTTTTGCAGTCGTATGCAGACTGAAATTTCCTCTCAAGCCATATAAACATTGTTAGGGTTGCCATTACTACTTTTAGAGATATTTGCAGTTTTCTATTTTTTGGACACTTTTCTCGTATCAGACCTGTTGTCAAATTGGCCATGACCAGAACATTCCAAAACAATTAAAATAACTTGACATTTGTCAAGTTAGTTGTCACATTATTGTCAAATCTGTAATAGTTTTTACTGAAAATTTAAATAAAAATGCCTGGAGATCGTTTAATTTATACTTGAGGATTATTTTAATTTGCTTGTTATTTATCGAAAAAAGCACCAGATTCTCGACATGTTCTTGAAATTACTTTGTGACATTTTCCATAAATAACAAACAAATTAGAATAATCCTCATTAGTATAATTTAAACGATCTCCAGGCATTTTTAATTAAATTTTCGGAAAAAGCTATTCAGACCCAACAATAATTTGACAACTAACTTGACAAATATCATTTTATTTCAATTGTTTTTGAAGTGTTTCTGGTCATGGCCAATTTGACAATAGGTCTGATACGAGAAAAACTGTCCTAAAAATGGAAAATGGCAAATATCTCTAAAAGTAGTAACGGCAACCCTAACAATGATTATATGGCTTGAAAGAAAATTTCAATCTGCATACGACAGAGTAAAAAAATATAGGGTGTTCCATTTAAATTAACAAAGTTATAGCTGTTTGAAGTTATCAAAATGTAACAGCAATAATGAAACACCTAGTATTAAATGTTTTAATTTGTTAGCATACCATAATGCTATTGCCTATTCCCTTTACAGGTACCAAAAATTCGCTTGACACCACGCTCCTGAAAAGAGTTACTAGCATCTCCGCGGACCCTTGTATCTGTCAAATTTTTTCTTTAAAAATGAATATCTCAAAATCTATAACTCCTAGATATAGGGAATATTTAATAAAGTGACCTTCAAATTTCACGTAGAATGCGAAAATAATAATATATAGGGTGTCCCATTTAAAATAACGTAGTTGGTGTCGACTTATGGTATAACCGGTGAAGGGTTCTAGATATTTTAGTTGTGTTCCTGCTAGGGACATTGCTATGTTGCCAAATTTTCAAAATTTTCGGAGTACTTTCCTAGATATCGATCGACGCAGTTCCCGGTGGGACATCCTATATATATATATTAATTAATTAAATAAAAAAGCAACTATATGTCTGTCCCATATTTAGATATAACAAAGTGTAGAAATTTGTAAGGATAATCGAGTTTTTAGCAAAATCGATACGTCTATTTGTTGCTCTATATCGGCAGTCTTCAAACTTTTACGACTTGCGGAACCCGGGCAACATTTCGATTTTCCTGAGGAACCACCACACCTACAAAAATTTTCGAACACATTTTTTACTGATTATAAGTTTATAAATACTAGTTTTAAGTATAAGTATAAATTTTATTGAATTTTTAACTGAGTCGCAGAATCTTCAGAAAGGTTATGGGGAACCCCAGGGTTCCTCGTAAACAATTTAAATACCGCTGCTCTATATTTAACAATTTTTGGAACCTTGTAAAATGATACGCCCATGATATCGCATTGCCCGTGCTCTTTGCCATTACATGGGCTACATGTTGAGAATGAGTCACTGCCTACTTGTGTATTTTGGAGCGGAAGTCCTAAGGAACCTATTAAAACTTAGAATTCATGGCACGTTATTCTAAAACGTCCGTTTTATCACGTCATGAAACAAATTTCAGAATTTCTTGAATATCACAGGTATATATTCAGTTATTGACAAAAAGCATGTTAGTAGCTGAAATTCTTTCCTTTCAAAATAATAAAGATTTTTTTGTCAATATTAATTAAATTAGCGATTATTTTAAACATAGCAATGCGACATTATCTAAACCCTGATTTTTTTTTAAACTTGCTGTACTTAATTTCAGACGAACCACGGCACCGATTACCTCCTACTGACCCCAGATAGATGCCTTATTTTCCCTTCCGTAGACTACGTACGGAACCTAGTGACAAAGCAGAGCCTCCGTCAAGGAATTCCCGTCGTAATAGACTGCACGCACATATACGGCGCAGATTATACAGCGGCAATAGCGATAGACACCATAACGCAAGACTTTGCTTCCAGAGATCAGCCGCTGCTGTTCTACAACCTGAAACCGTCGGTTTGCACGGTATTCGAAGGGCTTTCCCCCAAAGACTTCATAGTTTTTTACAACGAAGACCAGATAGACGACCTGCTGATCGAGCGGAACTCCGCCAAGAAGCATAACGAAATATTAGGAGTGTAAAAATTCAGTCTAAATCGTGTTGCTATGTTTTAATGAGAATATGTAATCCGATCTGAATAAGATCTGATACGATTGGAAATAGGTTCTCCCGGTTTGGTATACAGAGCCGTCATAAATGATTACAAGCCACGTGACTGCCGAGTTCAGGCAACCAACATTGCACTAGTGGCACTGTCATCTAAAAATCCTTAAACCTTAGCATCATCAGCATTAATGATTCATTTATAATGAAGAATGATAAACCCTTGCATTTACACTAGAGGCAATCGATCGAATAAAATGTCATGAAAAATTACACCAATCACAGCCGATGAAACAGAATTGGCTTAATAATTTTTAATTTTACCAAAATATATCTGCCAATATGAAGGAAACAAAGTTACTGGTCACTTGTAATCATTTTATGCTTATTATCCCACTTCTGATATATTTTAAATATAAACATATTTGTGCCATTTTGGCAGTAAAAATCAATTAACAAGCATATAAAAATTGTACTGTAAATCATTTGGGAGATCTTCTCAGGGAGAAAGGAGAAATAAACACAAAAATCGTTTATATTTGTATTTCATATATTTTTGTAGACCCATTTTGCGTTATATAGAACGTTATCATCGTTATAATCGATGGACAATATAATTTAAAGTATTTCGTGAATCCGTGATATAACAACGTTCTGTATAGTTCAAAATGACTTTTACTCTTTACGATCAGTATTTTATATTATTTTTTTTTTCACTAGTTAATTTCTTATTTGTATAGCTTACATCATGCGATGTAAACTGTAATATCTATACACTTCCTTATGTAGATTAGACAATAAACTGTGATATTATATTTCTAATAAATAATGTTGTGTTCAATTTTTTTTATTTTAATGCTTACCCTCTGTTAAGACAAAAAAAGATCCGGACAAGTCAATTATAAATAATAAAAATAATGAGGACCCAAGGTTTGATCCTTGGGGAACTCTAGACTTAGCCAAAAAGTAGTCAAATTGACGACCATTGTAAGTAACATACTGCTGTTTATCTTATGCAAATGAGTGACATAACTTTAGTAACGCTTCACTAAAACCCAAATAAATAAATTTTTTTATTAAAACATTATGGTCAATGCGTAAAGCGAGCAAGATTTGAAGCAGTCGATTTTTTCTCCATGAACCCATGTTGACATGGAGATAGGTAGATCTTCGCTAACGGATAAATTGCTGCAAACAAAAATACCTCAAAGAGCTTAACGAAGTTAAATACAGGGTTTCTCAATTTTAATCTATGAGACTTCGGGAGCAGATAGTATAACGAAAAATAGTGGTACTTTGTTATACAGGGTGATTCACAAATGGTGACCAAAAATAATACCTAATATTTTTTGAAGTTTAACACCCTGTATCTTTTTAAAGAAGCATCCTAGATAAAAACTTTATCCTTAAAATTCACCAACGAATACAAGGTTTCATTTTTGGTCACCATTTGTGAATCACCCTGTATAAACTTATTTCAATGTCTCAACCGTTTTGGAGATACAGGGTGTTAATAATTAAAAAAAATTGAACTAAATTTGATGTACGTTATATTGGGTCAAGTTTCCATAAAATGCTGTAACATCAAGACTTTTGCAACCAAATATGGGAAACTCATTCAAATATTTTATAAAAATAGTACGGTCCTGTGAAAAATAATAATTGATTATATTTTCTGAAAAAGCATACCAATGGGAACATAAATTGCTTCTTACTTTTTGTCGATATCTGTCTCTGTTTTGCGGTAAATTGTATTTCTTTTTTTTTAACTCCACTCAACGATTTGATAAAATACATGTCGCATTTTGAAGGCACAGCGATGATATATAAATATTTCACTGCAGTCTTTAATTAAGAAACTTGGTATTGGATCAGAAGTAAGTAAATTGATAGAAGTTATTCGTGAAAACGTATTTTTTTTTATTTTTTATACTTAACTACAACCATTGAAAACATCAAAAAAATTAAAACTGGCGCCACCTTTTCGTGTATCTCATCTTTTGTAAGTTGTTTCATATATTTCTTTTTGCTTTATATTTTATTTACTGAAGCGGAGTTATCTATGCAAAAAAAATTATTGGCAGTAAAAAATGTTTGAGAAATCTAAAAACATGGAAACTAATGATTCTCTTGAAGTTCTTGTAATAATCAAATTGATTCGAAGAACGCTACTTTATTTTTTATTTAAAATTAGTTGGAACTAGCCGAAATATTTTGGGAATTTTAAAAAAATCCATTAGCGTACAGTATCTGGCTAATTTGAAATCCAATTTTCCGTAAAACGGAGACAGATATCGATAAGAGGCATATTTTGTTCCTATTGGCATGCCTTTTCAGAAAATATAATCAATTGTTAATTTCCACAGAACCATACTTTTCTTTTATAAAATAGTCGAATGAGTTTCCCATATCTCCGCCACTGGTTGCGAAAAAGTCTTGATATTACAGCATGTTATGGAAACTCGTCCCAATATAACATACACCAAATTTAGTTCAAATAACTATTATTATTTCAGAAGATATTTACAGTAAATGAATTTTTTTTAATTATTAACACCCTGTATCTTGAAAATGGTTGAAATTTCGAAATAAGTTTATATAACAAAGTACCATTATTTTTCGTTGTACTATCTGCTCCTGAAGTCTCATAGATTAAAGCTGAGACACCCTGTATATTTCTTGTATTTGGTCAATTTTCATGTAGAATTAACTTTAGACCAGGGCAGATCTGTCGAAATATCCCACTTCTTGAATGTAAGAGGGGGCAAGCTAATTTTTCCTCGAATACCTTCAGTACAACTCACATAAAAAAACTGTAGATCCCTTGATCTGGGCGAGGTACGGAACATTTTCAAAATTGCAAAAATGTTTAAAACATTTAAAAAATAGGTACCTATTTTATCTGAGTTTTTTACTTATATCTTGGAACCTATAAATTTTGGAAGAATATTGAAGAGGACAAAAGTTTTAGAATTGAATTTTGCACAATATACTGTGAGTTAAAAATGTTTAAATTTATTACTGATGCTGCAAAAAAGCAATAATTGATGAAAAAAGGCAAAATAATCAAGTTTTTTGGATAATTTTTTTAAAATATTTTAATTGCTCCAAGGGGATTCTAATTTTGGTAAAAAAAACTTTAGAATATAATAAAACACCAAATTTCATTAAAATCGGTTCGATAGTTTTCGCAAAATAATTTTTTGAAAAAATTTTCGAATTTTCAAAATGTTGCACAGTTAATGAAATTTGGCGTGTTGTTTTATTATACTCTAAAGTTTTTTTTTACCAAAATTAGAATGCCCGCAGAGTAATTAAAATATTTTAAAAAAAATATCCAAAAAAACTTGATATTATTTTGCCTTTTTTCTTCAATTCTTGCTATTTTGCAACATCGGTAATAAATTTAAACATTTTTAACTGACAGTATATTGCACAAAATTCAATTCTAAAACTTTTTTCCTCTTCAATATTCTTCCAAAATGCATAAGTTCCAAGATATAAGTAAAAAACAGATAAAATAGGTATTTTTTTTAATTTTTAAACGTGCAATTTTGAAAATGTTCCGGGCCTCGCCCAGATCTAGGGATCTACATTTTTATTACGTGAATAGTACTGAAGCTTATCCAGAAAAAATTTGCTTGCCCCCTCTCACATCCACCTCAAAACAGATCCGCCCTGGTCTACTTCACCATTTGTGTAAAACTAAATATCCAACTTATTTATTAAAAATGATCAATGGATGTCATTTTATCCAGATGTACCAGAAGAACCACAAGCCTTTTTTTAATAGGAGAAAGGATAGGAACTCTCAAAGGAAGTAATTATAGCAAGCGAAGAGGTACATTTCAATAAATTTTATTATAAACATTGGAATTATTTCATTTAACACTAATAATAATAAATACATTTATAATATAGTAGAATATATATGGCAAAATTTGGCTTCAATTCATATTACTATAAAAATTGAGCACAAATGAAAAATGAACACAGAAATGTTTATACACATAGTGGAATATGATATTTGGAATATTATCGTAAATATTACACCCATATTTGTTACACATTTTGTGCCCAACGAAATTTCAGTGGTGTACGAAAATTTTGAACATTTACGAGTAATAGAAAAACCTTTACCTACTTTTATAAAAAATTTAAACGTTATAACATTCATAATATGAAAATATCTATATACACAAAAATACCAGTTTTTTGTTTCTATGTAAAGAAAACAATCGGTACCTACATCGATTTGATAAACACGTAATTGCATTGATTTTACATTTGCTAATATTCCTCACTTTACGGGTCGAATTACATAAAATATTTTACGCTACGGCTAAGATAAAATTTAAATTCTCCCTACATTATTTTAGAAAAATAACTATTTGTTCGTGAAATTGAGCACAATATTCCAAATGAGTCAAATAAATATATCCTGCATCTTTTAAGAAAATATGAGTTTTAGTTTTCCTTCGATATTAAACGTAACTTACGAAACGCCTCCATCGGCACGCAAAACTTTTTAACTTTAACAAAATAACCGTACGTAACAGACAGCAAGTGCCGGGAGAGGCATTTCGTATCGAAAAAAAAAAAAATTCCGTAAAACCAAACAAGTTAACACACAAACAAAATATCACAACTATTTTAAAACAAAATAACCGTCAAAGGCTGATTGTTCTGTTAACATTTCAAAATTTTTGCAGAAATTTGAGCAAAAATGGGAAATGCCGATGGTGGTTCTACACACCATTTGTTCCTGTTCTCTAAAAAAAATGAGCTTTGATACATGTAGTATAGTTAAAATCTAGATTTTTTTTTTGTGGTATGTGATGTCACAGAGCCATGCACACCATAGTCAGTCTGTTTCAATCCTTGTAATCTCATTTCAGTCTATCTAGCGCCACAGATTTATTGGTCTCTAAAACATACACCTACTGTTAGAATTATAAGTGTTACCCGTTTTTTACTATTTTTTTAAACGGGGTGGTAGGGAACAAAACTGGAATGGGAAATAATTTTGTAAAAACAGATTGCTTTCGCATGCCTTAACATGACAAACATCAAAAAAAAAAATTTTTTTAAAAGAATTATTTTGGTTATTTTATAAAATACAGGGCGATTTACAACTTATCTAAAAAATTTGGGAATAGATGCATCATAAAAAATTGAGTCAATATCACAAAAAAATTGTTTGTAAAATCCTTAGTTTCTAAGAAAAAAATTATTAAAGTTGTAGTATTTTCAACCCTTACATCGCTGGGCTACTGTAATCACTAACGTCTTCCGCGTTGTGCGCTATGCCATTCCGAATACTGAAATCCGATTTTAGTCTTATCATTGTTGCGATAGTGTTTACATTAGTTTTTCAAGTGTCAAAAATGACTTACGTGTATAGCAACTTGGAGTTGACGGACATCGTTTTAATTTATGGTGCAGCTAGACAAAATGCTTTAGCAACTTCTCATTTGTACGCAGAACGAGTTCCTGGTAGACATGTATCAAATGCAGCTACTTTTACCATGGTAGTGCAACGCGGGCGGGACACGGGAAATTTGCAACCGAATCGTGGTAGATATGCACGGCAAGGGGTTAGTTCGTCAACTGGGCCCAAATGTATTTAACCGTCGATGGACAAAATTTTGAACAGTTGTAACATCAGGTATGTTATTATTTTATTAATTAAAACCACAAATTAATTTTATTAATTAATAATAACAATAGCGTCAAAAGCAATTGAATTTGCTGATATAAAATTTTATTTATTTCGTTCATTTTTGTCCGATCATTTTTTATTACATTTTCTCTCCGTGCCGGTCGCAGACTGCATGCTTTGCCGTAAAGTCAGGTTTTACAGTGGACCAGTTTCCAGTGCAGTGCAGAAGCGTATTTTTAAATTTTTATCAAACTGCCATTTTTTATTTTTTTTTGTACATTCAAAACATTTTTTTTGGATAAGTTCCAAATCACCCTGCATACATAATAAGAATTCATAAAAATATATTTTAAAAATCAGTTCGTTTTAAAAAAAAATTATTCGTTTTTATTAAAGCACTGTGTTTAGTTCGTAAGTCTCGGTATCACGGACCTAGTTTAAGTGAACTACATAATATCAATCCACCTGATGTGATATGACAACACGGCGTTAGGCGAGCAAAAAACAAACTGCCAACTTTAAATTCGGCAAAATGAGAATTGCCCTTTTACTTTACTTTTCAGTTTATCATTTTACGATGTTTGTAATATGGCAGGTAATTTAACGATTTTCTGGGTTAGGTATTAGTTTTTATTGGAAACCAAATAGAACTTGTGTAGTGCAGTTTTGTGTTTTAAGTTTGATTTTACAATAAAACTTATTTTGGTATTTAATAACCTTATAAGTTATTTATTTCTGTCTTTAATGACGTTTCGGTGTGTTTGTGTGTCTTCATTGTTAAATTTCTATGCAACACTATAAAAAAACATGTATACGAATTAAGAAAGATAATATTTGACAACAATGCAAGGTGTAGCTCCCAACTGGTTAGAGCGTGGTTGTTTACAGTTATACAAACTTGTCCAGAAGTGGGATATAAAAATTATGCAAAAAAATGTTAAAAAAAACAAACTTATGATGTGTATTTTGCCCGTTTTCACAGACATCCAGTTGGGACTTGACACATTAGACCTCTCCGTTTAAAATGAGCCTTATGGGGCCTTTTGGCTTTTCTACGATTTCTTATTACCGAGATATGTCGACAAATTTAGTACCCCGACAATTTTACAGACGTATCCACATAAAAAAAATAATTGAAACCTTCTCACTTACCCAGTGCCCGGATAGTAGTAGGGCGGCGGCCTCTCGTATTCAGTCGGAGCTCTTTGATATTGCGGGGGGCCACCGTTAGGAAATTCCTCCCAGTGCCTAAGCAAAAATGTACGCAACACTTGAGCAAAGCGAAAGAGTCGCAGCGGTATTTAAACTTTAGAATTTTCAGAACAAGCAAGTGACGGAGAAGTGTGAGCTAAACGAGTGATATAGAGAGAGAGAGCTATAGCGGACCAGAAAAGAACGAAACTAACGTAAAAAAACTAGTCTTGAACAATTTTAATTTCATCTAATAAGGGTTATATGAATGGAAACGTTTATTCAAGGCAAAAACGATGAATTTTAAATAAAAATTAAAATATAAAAAAATTTAAAAAATCGTGTATTTAAGCTAATGACTAGATTTTTCACAACATTTTTAAATATTCGTCAAAATGCTCCAAACAAAATGTGTAACGGAACATGTCACATTTTGTTTTTCGATTTTTTCTATTGTTAAATTAAAATAGAAACCCTTAAAATCATTCAATCCATTTGGATTAGCTACAAGACTATTTGTTTAATTTCGTGTTAACCCAAACGCGATACTGTATGCTACACAGTGTGCTAGAAGTTTGACTGCCGTAAAATTATAAGAATCCTCAAGTTGATGTGAAGAAGTTTGGTTAATTTAAAGAACCTCAACGTAATTGTGCACAAAATGCTTCTTCACTTTCAATTTGTTAGATTCGTTAATCAATAAAATTGGATAAAGCTGATATCGCGCAATATAACAACAGCGTGACGGAATGACAGTGGTACGCTGCTAGCAGATGATGGAATTGAATCTAAAAAATTTAATTTGATTTAATTTATTTTATTAAGTTCTCTTTAGGAACTGTAAGAAATATCATGTTACATTTCTAGACGATTTAAATATATCGGGAGCCAATAAATACTACTAGACAATTAATAATTCAAGATTTAAGTATCTGAAATTCAGATAAATCTTCAGATTCTGAATACCCGCATACAAACACAGCTGGTCTATGGTCTTAAGGCCGCAAAGATCGAACCGTGATGGTGGCATTCGTCGATTCAAGTACTGACGCCTTGAACCACTTGGCCACCAACGTAACATTAACTTCAAGATCTTTAAATATCAGAGTCGGAGAACACCGGAGAACAGATTATTTGAAAAATAAAAAATATGCAAACATGCATGGCAAAACGGTCACATTATTCAATGGAATACCACAAAAATTTTGGGAAAAGAAAGTAATATGGTAAAAAAAAACTAAGAGTCCATGGAGTGTCTCCAATAACTTTTTAAATTTAGATTAGTCGTTTTCCCCAACGGTAGCTGCCTAAGAAAAGGACTTTCATTGAAGTATCTCAACGCCTTCTTGATACTGGTAGGGTTATTCCAAAGACAGGTGAATGTGAATATGGAAGAACATATTTTAGACGTTGTTGAACCAGTTCAAGAACTGTCAGCTGCAGATTTTTTTCCAACTAAAACTGACCTCAGCCCCCATTTCGTTTTAAGAATTTTAGCAGCGGATCAAGCACGCTTTACTAGAAATTGTGGTCTTAATTTTCGTAATACTCATAACTGAACAAATGAAGATCCACATATTATACAGAGATCAAAATTCCAGCATTGTTTTTAAATTAATCTTTAATTTGGGATAAATAGGGGGAATCTAATCGGACGTTTTATTTGCCGTGCCAGGCAGGTTGGCAGGAGACGCATATATGAATTTCTTAGAAAACATTGTACCAGAACTGCCTGAAGATATACCACTAGACGTAAGAGTAAATAAATGGTCTTTGTACGCACATTACGACATTCAAATAATATTTTTGGAAAATGCTGGATGGGCGGAAACGGCCAGTTCGTACACCAGATCTAAATCCATTAGAATTTTACTTATGGCGACACATGAAGTAGAAGCGGAAGAAGACTTGCAAGAACGGAATATGTTGTTTGTTTTAAACATTTCAAAATTCATTTATATCAAGAAATTCAAAATCGGACCTGCAAGACAATTAATAGTCTTTAAATTCTCTAAAAACTATTAATTTTTACAATAATTGTCCACCTTTGGAATTTTTGTCATTCACTGTAATCTGGCGGACCATTAAGCCAAGCAATTCGACTAGCGCTGTTGCCAAATTGTGATAAAATTCCCCAATGGACGTATTTTAAAAACGTTTAATATTACAACCAGCAATATACTTGTTTATTTACATTTCATCTACCTTTTGATGAAATAACGACAGTCGAATTTCTAACACGCAGTATACAGGGTACAGCAAAAGTACCGGTACGGCAGAATAACCTTGACATTGACCTTGAAGATCATTTCAAGGTCAAACGTGATTTTTCAAATGGGACCCTATACTTTTGACCCCAGAAATGAAAAGAGCGGTAAATTTTAAGTCCAGATATGACCTTGAGTGACCCCTCCCTTTTGACCTTGGGGCCCCCACAAGGTCGAAGTAACAAAAGTACAGGAACGGCAGAATAACTCGGCGGGAGAGCATTTTAAAGAAAAATGTTAAAAAATCAATGTCAAGGTCACCATCGAATAGCCAGGGAGAAATCCTGAAACTTTTGTATATAACATTTTTTTCTAAAATGCTCTCCCGCCGCGCTATTCTGCCGTTCCTGTACTTTTGTTAGTTTGACCTTGTGGGGGCCCCAAGGTCAAACGGGAGGGGTTACTCAAGGTCACATCTTAATATAAAATTTTCCGTTCTTTTCATTTCTGGGCTCAAAAGTATAGGATCCCATTTGAAAAATCGCATTTGACCTTGAAATTATGTTCAATGTCAAGGTCACCATTGGATAGCCAGGGAGAAATCCTGAAACTTTTGAATTTAACATTTTTCTCTAAAATGCTCTCCCGTCGCGCTATTCTGCCGTTCCTGTACTTTTGTTAGTTTGACCTTGTGGGGGCCCCAAGGTCAAACAGGAGGGGTTACTCAAGGTCACATCTTAATATAAAATGTTCCATTCTTTTCATTTCTGGGCTCAAAAGTATAGGGTCCCATTTGAAAAATCGCATTTGACCTTGAAATTATGTTCAATGTCAAGGTCACCATCGGATAGCCAGGGAGAAATCCTGAAACTTTTGAATTTAACATTTTTCTCTAAATTGCTCTCCCTCCGAGTTATTCTGCCGTTCCGATACTTTTGCTAGACCCTGTATATTAAAGCATTAATCTATAATATAAATAAATATCACAAGCTATAATTGCATAAAAAAAATAAATATTTAGGATCCTACGGAATAAAACGGAGCTCTTCCACACTTATAGAAAAAAAAAAGTTAATTACGTACAAGTATTGTTCCATCAAATTTTTACTTAAAAAACACAGTTAATAGATTCATTGCAAGAACTCCATTGTCGCTTTTAAATTATAGACGTGGACAAATAGGAAGGCACAACAAAGCACGCCAACACTAATAGTATATCAAGTGATTATTGTTGGAAGTATCAAACCTGGAAAAAATCGAACGGTAAAGAAAAATCCAGCAAAAAAACTAATATTTTATACTATTGGAAATGTACATACTAAATCTAGTTTCAAGAGAGAATTCTGATCCGTACTAAAATAATGATTAATAAATAGAACGGACTGCATCCTTCCTAGACCTCAGTCCAAGTGAAATTTGAAGGAAACAGTAATTTTTTAAAATACGAGACGAAAATTAGAAAGAGAGAGAAAACACAGGTATCAGGCAATTTTAAATAACTTACTTACTTTGGAGCCATGTCGGAATACCGGGTGTCCGGCGGATGCGAGCCCGTAGCGTGCTCCCGGGACACCACATCGCCGCCCATGTTTTGCGGGCGGTCCTCATAGTACTTGGACTTTTTTCCTTTTTTCTTTCCCCGTTTGCCTCCTCTACTACAAAAATCAAATAATGTAATGCCGTCCGTGACCACATAAAGAAAACGTTAGAAGTTAAATTACGCATCGGGCGAATGGAGAAAAGTGGGTGGAATAGTTAAAATTAAGCGGTTTACTCAATGGATTAGTTCGGAACGAATTCTACTGATCTCTCGTCACTCTTTCAGGAAATTGCGTCAAGCTGAACAAAACATGCAAAGCGGGAAGCTAAACCCTACACAAATTATTGCAAACGTTAACGGAAAATTAGTGCGAGTAAAAAGCTTTACTTGAAAAAAACAAGTTTTATTGAGAGAAAAAAATACAAGAAAGGGAAAACTAATTATATCTCATTAAATTAAATTACGTAGCCCAGCATGCACGGCTTTAGCCAACTTACCCATTCAAGGGAATATTATCGCCGCGATCAGCATACGCGTCATACAAATATTCACTGCAAAACGACACACAAACGTTACATACCAAAAAATTCGCAAATAATTCTACATCGTGCGATGTAGTCGACTGTACAAAACAAATAAAAATAAATACGCTAGGTTACCGCTCGGCACGTGATGCAACGACTGGAACCACAGCTGATAATTTCACTTCCGTTTTTCGAGCAGCGCCCCGAGGATGTCGGTTATCTTGAGAAATACAAGAACTGGGGAAAATTGGGAAATTTGAAGACAAATAGCAAGACGAAAAGAAATTTGGGAGAAACAAAACATCGTCGAATTCCCAAAGTTCGACTTAATTTGTCACATGTGGTATCTCTTAAAATAATCAAGTAAATAAAACTCAAAAATGTAACTTTTTCTTTGAAGAATAATTAATATTCATTCGACAGTGATTTTGGAAAGTTAAAAAATGCCTTGGAAAAATTTCTCATGGGATAAAGAAAACAAATGAATGACGACTTATTTTTCGCCCATCTTTGGAAAATAATAAATTTCACTCAAAACCGTTTGATAATTTCGGAAAGTTAAAAAATATTGCGACATTTTCTGGACAAAAATTTCAACAAGGGATGAATAAGAAAAACAATAAGATGAGTAGTGGATAATTTTTTTCCTCACTTATGGAAAATAATTAATATTAAGAGGGCTCTACAGCAAATAGACAACCAACAATACACTTTTATAGATTTTATTACACAGTTTCTCTAAATATGAATTAAAGCACAAATAACAGACTTTCCCCCATTTTAACACAGATTTTCTATAAAATGAACTTGGTTTGAAACTCAAATTACTTTTTGGTGTAAAGAAATTTGTAATTTACAATGCCAATTACAAATTTCTTTACAACAAAAAGTAAATTGGGTTTCAAACTAACTCCATTTTATAGAAAACATGCGTTAGAATGGAGGAAAGTCTATTATTTGTGCGTTGATTCATATTTAGACAAACTGTGTAATAAAATCTATTAAAACGTGTTGCTGGTTGCCTATTTGCCATAAAGCCCTCTTAACTCGTAAAACCCTTCAGTGATTTTGGGAAGTTAAAAAATTTCTTATGGGATAAAAAAAACAAACGAATGGCGACTTATTTTTTCCTTGTCTGAAAAAACAATTAATTTCCACTCTTAAAACTCTTGAGAACAATTTTGGTTAAAAAATATTGACATTTCCGTGAAAAAATTTCAACTGGGATTAAAAAAACAAAAGAATAACTAGTGGACGATGTTTTCCTCATCTTTGGAAAATAATTAATTTTCATTTGTAAAAAATCCTTTAGTGATTTAATATTAATTTTATATGGAATAAAAAAACAATAATGGAAAACAATTTTCAATCATAAAAGTTAAAAAATATTGTCAATTCCTGGAAAAAATTTCAAATGAGGTAAAAACAAAGAACGACTAGTGAACGACTGTCTTTTCTCATCTTAGAACAATTAGTTTTCATTCGTAAAACACTCAAGAAAGATTTTGGAAATTTAAAAAATTTCTGGAAAAAATTTCTCATGGGATAAATCATAAAAAAAATAATGACTAGTGGACGACTCTTTTTTTCCTCGTCTTTGGAAAACAATAATACATTGTCACCCGTAAATCCCTCGAGATTTTGGAAAATTAAAAAATATAGTGACGTTTCCTGAAAAAAATTTTTCCTGAGTTAAAGAAAAAAAACAAAAGAGTAACTAGTGGATGAATTTTTTTATCTTTGGAAAACAATTAATTTCGCTCGTAAAAATTAGTGGGAACCATTTTTAGAAGTTAAAGATTACTGTGACCGTTCAGAAAAAATCTCTTAAAATTAAACAAAAGCCACAAAAAATTATTATTAATTAAATTATGCTTGGGGGCCCTGACGATATAACCTGTTACATTGTATACTTCCAACGAACCGACAAAGCTGTGCTTCCAGTCACACTTACGAGTGACGTTTCTATTAGATATTAAATATTTTCGTCAAATACTTACGTTTCGACGTATTGCCCGCCGAACTGCTTGTACTTCTGGTAGAGCGAAGCTAATTTCACGGAAACGATGATGGTCGGTATGAACAACACTAGAGACAGCAACAAACTCAGCCAAAATCCATTCTACAAAATAATTAAAACAACAAATAAATCAAATGTGGATAAAATTAAAATAAAATTGTTCGGGTGTTCAATGACCTTTGAAAAATGATATAATAGTTCGATCAAATTGTCAAAAATACCACATTTTTTTGCCAAAAAATAGTTCACTAATTGAAAATATGTGAAAATTAGGAAAAATTCCGTAGAATTCAATGAACTACTTTACCCCACCTGAATTTTTGGGCATCATTTTCAAAATGACGTCCAAAGTTCGCAAAAAACAGTTTTTTTTCATTTATAAAAAAAAACTAAACAATTTAGAAAAAAATGTTTCAAACAAAAGTTGTAGGAATTTTTAATACGGATTGAATAAGCCCAAACCGGTTTTGATCGATAAATAATTTAATTAGTTATTGCAAAAAAAAAACCATAAAAACTGCAATTTTTTTCAAATAGCTGTAACTCTTTCAAAAATAAATATTTTTTTATGAAACTTGGTGAAAGGATAGCTCTTTGTGAGCAAAATAAATTTTCTCACAATTTTTTCAAAATTGAAAAATATTTTATTGTTTTTGCAAAAATCGAGTTCTTTGAAAAAAAGCGTTTTTGTAAAATCCCTATAATTCATAGGCCACCACATCTTTAGGACGGGGTTGGGCTTAAAATTTTCTTTAATAATAACACTATGTGCAAATATTGCGCGAGCCTCAAATCAATTTCAAATATCGCAAAAAAACAATGAAAAAATCGTTTTTTTTGCATCCACATGTTTACTATGAATTTTTTTTCAACCCCTGTTGAGACTTTTTTTTTAATTCGTGAAAAAACGTCAACTTTCCAATGGCAGTATCGACATTTTAATACGAATTGAAATCAAAAAGTTAATCAGTTTTATGGCCCAGAAAAAAAAAATTTTCTATCTTTTTTTGCGATATTTGAAAACGATTTGAGGCTGGCGCAATATTTGCACATAATAGTGTAATTATTAAAGAAAATTTTAAGCCCAACCCCGTTCCTAAAGATGTGGCGGCCTATGCAATATGGGGATTTTACAAACAAGCTTTTTTTTTCGAAAAACTCGATTTTTGCAAAAACTATAAAATATTTTTCAATTTTGAAAAAATCATTTTATTTTGCTCACAAAGAGCTATCCTTTCACCAAGTTTCATAAAAAAATATTTATTTTTGAGAGCTGAGAGTATTTGAAAAAAATTGCGATTTTTAGCAGTTTTTTTGCAATAATTAATTTATTTATTTATCGATCAAAACCGGTTTGGGATTATTCGATCCGTATTAAAAATTCCTACGACTTTTGTTTCAAACATTTTTTTCTAAAATGTTTTTTTTATAAATGTAAAAAACTGTTTTTTTGCAAACTTTGGACGCCATTTTGAAAATGAAGCCTAAAAATTCAGGTGAGGTAAAGTAATTCATTGAATTCTAGGGAATTTTTCCTAATTTTTACAAATTTTCAATTTCTGAATTATTTTTTGGCACCTGAAAAAGTAATTTGATTGGACTATAAGCGGAATACGGTAGACACAAGGTATACAGTTACTAATCGACAAAACGTAACCAACAGATTCTGCGATGGAAATTAATAAAGTTTTGTGGAAAAATACAGTGGCATTACGTTGTCGGCTTACGAATGAGACGATTTGTTATTTTCACGAACGGTGTTTTTCTTATTAGTTTCATTAATATCTCAAGTATATACGAACGAAATATGGTGATCTACGCGAATAGTGAAATGGTAGATATGTTAAAAGTTAAAAAGATATGTTATGTGCAAGAAATATCCCAAATGAGTTAAGTCGATAAATTGGCAAAAACCAACAAAGTTTCTGGGGTATCATCTAAAACGACGCTTATATATGATCGCACTTACCCACGGTAAAATGATTTTGTCGCAAGCGGCAGTGAGAGTGGCGTTTATGGCCGCATTCATCGGTCCGCACTGTCCAAACTCTTCCTTAATAACGTAGGTCACTCGGTCCAAAAAACTGTCGACTTGGTTGAGCACCATGTTCCCAAACTCCTTGGCCACCTGAAAAAGATCGCTTTTTTAATAAAAAAAAAAAAAAATAGTTTCAAATCAGGCAATCCTGGTGGCCGCTTCGAGGGGCCCCGCTTACATGTCAAGTTTCCTTTAGGGCTGGTTCATACTGAAGCAAATGAAAATATATTTCTGTAAAGTCACTAAAATAATTCATGTAGAAATGAAGTATTGGAGAAAATTTCAATTATATATTAAAAAACGGTAAACTTTTAGAAGAAATGAAAAGAAATTTAGTAATGTTTGTTTATACAAGGTGTGCCGAATACAATTATTAATTTCGAACAAAAGTATCAGCTTTCGAGGGGGTCAAATTATGAATTTGACCTTGAAGTGAATTATCAAGGTCATTTCAAGGTCAACCTTTATTTTTCAAATGTAAAACCCATATTTTTTATTGCAGATTCATATTCTGCGGGAAAAAATACGTAACTTTTGTATGAATCATTATTTTGAAAATGCTTTGTTCTTCCATCAGAGTGCCGTATATTTAATGTTCCATTTTAAGTCTCAGGCTAATATCTCAAGAAATAAGCAGGATGGTGAAAAATATTTCCAACAAAAGTCGTCAGGCCTCGGGGGGATCAAATTACCTTAATCTTTCAAGGTCGACCTTGATTTTTTTAATGGAAACCCATATTTTCATTACAGGAAACCTGTTCAAGAAAAATATTTGCATGTAAAAGTTACATATTTTATCCTGCAGAACACGAAACTGTAATGAAAATATGGGTTTCATTTAAAAAATAAAGTTGACCTTGAAATGACCTTGATAATTGACTCCAAAGTTAATTTCAAGGTCACGATAATTTTATCGCCCCGAAACCAGACAACTTTTGTTGGAAATATTTTTCACAGAATACAAATCTGCAATAAAAAATATGGGTTTCCATTTAAAAAATCAAGGCTGACCTTGAAATGACCTTGATAATCGACTTCAAGGTCAAATTCAAGGTCACCATAATTTAACTCCCTCGAAACTTTTGTTTGAAATATTTTTTGTAGCAGTTATTTTTATGTGTTGGTCTTTGTCAAAGGTGATGTTAGAACAGCAAGAATACGCGTTCAAATACCTTTTGCAAAATATCGGCTCCTTCCTTCCTCAAAACTGTTTGCGCTTCTTGAATCTCATTCAGCAGCTTGTCTATCGCCTCCGAAAAACTGCTCGAGTTCATCTTCAGGTCCGTGTCCAGCTGCTTGGATATATCCTGAAAAAGGATCTCACTCAAACGTGACGGCTAAAAAACGGGTTACGGAAATACTAACGATGACTTTGTTGGCCAGCTCCTTCATGGGCTGCAGCAGCTTCTCGTCGTACGTGTTTATATGCAGAATACTGAGCTGCACCTCGGTCTTCACGTCGTCTAAATCGCCTTGATCTTGAATGTTAACGACGAGCTCCCCCAGCTTCTTGGAGATCTCGTTGAGGCTCAGGTTGGTGAAGTTCTGCTTCAACTGAAACAAACGGCATGTACAAACGCCACGTTACGTTTCCTACACTCCGCTCACCTCGTCCTGGAACTGGTCGAAATTGATGCTGGGATCGAAGTCCTTCAGATCTTCCAGAGTCCTCAAATTTTCCGGACTCAAGATCTCGAAATCCTCGTCAAGAATACCGTTCAGATGCGAGTACATCTGATCCAGGAAGTTCGATATGTCGAACTTATTGCTGATGGTGTCGACGTCGAACTGCGACCTCAAATTCAGGACGTTGTAGATGCTCTCGTTCTGGTAGCAGTTGATTAAACTAGTCTTGAAAGAAAAGTCTTTGAGGCTCGAGACCTGCGTCAGGTATTCGTCCAACAGGTTCATGATTTTGGAATCGCCGGGGTTCCTCAATGGATAGCAGACGACCCTGTCCGACGATAGGCCCGTCCCGAACATAAGAAGGGTTACCGCGGCCAGTACTAGGCCGAAAATGAACATCAACATGACAGCGCTAAAAATGAAATTGCAGATTTACAAAACACGTCCCTCAACTCTGAAATACATTTAAAAAAAAATTTAGTCACTGTTTTTCTTCCACAAAGTTTTCCAGTTGAGGCGTGTCAGTGTGTGTCATAAGCGTACAAGTGGGAGACATGTTATTTTCACATTTTCATTATTGTAATAAGTTGCGTTAACACGGAATCATTTGCCAGTAGCCAATCTGGTAGTCGTAAATGACCAAACTTGATATAATCCAGGGAATTCAAGCACGAAACACAGATATGACCGTGACTGATGCCAAGGAAATGTGCAGTGCAGTAAAAGTGTCTCTTGGAAGTGTTTATTATGTGTTAAAAAGTGATGAATGTGTAAAAAAGCCAAAAAACTATAACTCATGCGACATATGTTATCCGTAGTATTTTTGCCTCCTGATCACGAATCCGATGACAGAATTGAGCTATCACATCACAGGAATTTCCTAACCTCAAAAAGCAGGTCAAAAATAGTAAAAATTCACGAAAAATACAAACAACTTTTTTTGCTATATTCAAACGTTCATGTATATGGTTAAGACCCCACCGAACGTGAATCCGCTGTCAGAATTGATAGTTCTTTTTCTAACCTCAAAAAAACTGGTCAATTAAGGTCCGATATCAATTTTCAAAAAATAACAGTAACGCCAAATTTGGTATACGGGGGTTTTCGGGGTCGCTGATCACGGATCCGAGGTCAATTTTACAAAATTCAAGATGTCGGATCCAAGGTGGCCGTTCGAATTTTCAAAAAAATAACAGTTTCGCGCTGAATAAGGGAGTTTTCGGGGTCACGAACCTGAGATCAGGTTTACAAAATTCGTTTTTAAAAATTTAATCAATTACCTATGTACTTTATTACCTGAAATGAGGCAGAAAACCCATGAATAGATCTGCTTTTACAGAAAAAAGAACAAGTTAGATATAGCCGAAAAAAAGAACATGATTGGGTACTCAGGTTATAAACAAAAATATTACAAAACGAATTTCGCAATTCTGACCTCGAATACGTAATCAGCGACCCTGAAAATTCCCGTATACCAAACTTGGTGCGAATCTGTTATTTTTTGAAAATTTGGTCAGCCATCTTGGATCCGCCATCTTGAATTTTGCAAATTTAACATCGGATAAGCGACCCCGAAAACTCCCGTATACTAAATTTGGCACGAATATGTTAATTTTTTAAAATGCGTGGTGATATCTAACCCTAATTAACTCGTTTTTTTTAGGTTAGAATAAGAACCATCAATCCTGACAGCGGATTCACGTTCGACTGAGTCTTAACCATATAGATGAACATTTGAATATAGAAAAAAAAATTTGTTGTATTTTTTGTAGTTTTTTCGTGAATTTTTGCTAATTTTGACCTGCTTTTTCAGGTTAGGAAATTCCTGTGATGTGATAGCTCAATTCTATCACCGGATTCGTGATCGAGAGGCAAAAATACTACGGATAACATATCGAGGGCATCATATCAGAAGGGCGTAAGAACCACTATAGTCGGTTTTGGGTTTTTAGGGCGTATGACCTCATTTAATCAATTCGCTTAATATATCAGAAGGGCGTATATATTCATAAACATCGACACTCTATTCTAACGCATTTTACTTAGGCGTATGAACCAATTTTGCAAAACTATATCAGAATGGCGTATGCCTGTAAAATTTCAGATTTGGTTCATACGCCCTTCTGATTTGACGCCCTCGATATGTCGCATGAAAAGTACAGACAACATTTTTTTTGTGTGGCAGTGTAATTTGAATTAACTTTACTTGAAAAGGACTTCTAAAGATTTCACATGAACAGATTCTCGCATCCACTTCATTATCGTTTAATGTCGCCACTTACCATATGAGAAACTGGCTGCCGGCGCCTTTGTTGCAACAATTGTCGTTGTACCTGTCGGGTCTCTTCCCGCAAATACCGCATATGAGACCGAGAGCGATACAGATCGTCACCAGCAACAAGATGCAACTGATCGCCAAGCCCCCGTAGTATCTATATTGGCCGTAGTCCCTGATATAATTGTTTAAATCACGAATCACGGGATCGATCGAACCACCGATCTGATCTTGAACGTCCGATATCACGCTGGTTATGTTGTCCAGGTTATTCTTGATCGTAACTCCTGAAAACCACAAACAATTCATTTTTTTTTTAAATAAACATGGAGACGTACGGAGAAATATTTACCTGCTTCGTTAACCTTCTCTTTCGCACTGCTCAAAGTGTCGTCCAATCTCTCGCTGATTTGTTGCTCAATATTCCTCAATTTTTCGTGTCCCTCTTTGGCCGCACTCTCTATTTGCGTCAGATTTAACTCGTTTATACGGTTTATTGTCGGCGACACATCTGGCAGCTAAAAATTTAAAAACAGTTTCTTTTTACTTTTACTATCAATTATCAATCAAGAAAAACTACCTAACATACAGATTGTCAATGATATACTCTGTCTGATTCTAATTGTAAGTCACGAAACATAAACGTGTGTTCGAAAATGCTTCGTTTTCGAGATACAGGGTGTTGAAATAATAATATCACATTCTCTATTTGTGTCAATCCGTAAAATCTGTAATCTGTAATTTCGAAAATAATCAACTTCTCAATTATAATTTGACAATTTTGAACATCTTAAGGCAAATTTGGTGTTACCTAAATTTGCCTACTTTACTAGGTTCTATGTTAAAAAGAAAACTTCAACTGAAAAAACACCCTGTCCATCGATCGAATATAAGAAAAATTAAAATACGTCAAACACATTTTCGATAACACACACCAACAAAATTTTAAACTAGAAACCAGATCTATTTTTCCGAAGCTTTTGCCGTTCTGAATTCAAATCCGACGTCACAATTAGGTTTTAGAGATATTTTAACCTAAAACTGCGAAAAACTCGGTTTCTCGCAATATTTGAGGTTATGTTATATCACGAGGTAATTTTTCCCATAACACCCGTTGTGACATCTGAAAATACTACTCTTCCCCTTCAAAATCCATTTAGAATAATTTGAAATTCTATTTTCTTCCCCGAAAAACCGTTTTTTGAAATTGATTATTTTGGCATATTCGTCGATATCGGGAAATTGAGGGAAGACCCAAAAAAAAAAAGAATCAAATCAAACACCTAAATTCCCGCTGGTACTTCAGACCTTTCGGCGTCGCTGATTACGAATCTGAAGTCAAAATTACAAAATTCAAAATATCAATTCCAATATGGCGGATGCAAAACAAAGATGCCATTTTGAATTTTGTAATTTTGACTTCAGATTCGTAATCAGCGACACCGTAGAGTCTGAAGTACCAGCGGGAATTTAGGTGTTTGTAATTGATTGTTCCCTCTTTTTGAGTTTTCATTTGATGCCACTCATTTTCCAAATATTGACGAATATGCCAAACTAATCAATTTCAACAGGCGATTCCTTGGAGGAAAGGAGATATTCGAATGAATCAAAACAGATTTTGAAGAACAAGAGCAGTACTTTTAGTTGCCACAACCAGTTTTATGGACAAAAATTACCCCATGGTGTAACATAACCTCAAATATAGTGAAAAAAAACCCGTCTTTTTACATTTTTAGGTCAGGATATCTCCGATAAATCCTGATGTTGTGGAGCTATTCTGATTCAACATATCGTTCCATTATTAAACTTTGAACTATGTAAACTTCTACGCCATCTACGTTTTTTTTTCTGGCATGCTGTAATTCACAATCAAACAGTAGATGGCATTGTAGCATAGCAAGCAATTCGTTAACTTACCCTGGGAAAATATCGATCAACGTACTGCATGTAAGAGAAACACATGGAGGATTACCATTTTTTTTTTTTGACTCGTTACAATTTTGTAAGAAAACGTGCAACGAAGGCTTTAATAATACCGACTGCAAAATCTTACCCTGTTAAAATCTATGTTCGTCTGGAGTTGACTGATGTTGCTTTTGATATTCTTGCACTCGACGATATTGCACTTCTCCAGGGTGATCAATAGGTCCCTCTTCACTTTTCGCATCGCTGCAAGAAAAAGCACATTCCGGTAATGGAACTGAAGGCAGCAAATTTATATATATATATTTATATATATAATGCATTCGTATTTCTATCGCTCAAATTCGATAATAGTGCAGTCGTTGAAGCTTATCACCTCCGAATTCTTTGAATCTGAACCGATCGACTTGAAATTTAGCAGATAGTTAGAGAAAAGGTCAATGAACGTCAGTGACATAGCGCCGATTGAAGCTTCCACCCTGTTGGGGGTTGACACCCCTTCTCGGGGGTGGAAATTTTTTTATTCAAAAATAACGCTGGTAATCGATAGAGAATCAAATTTTGAGCAAAAAATATTCGAAGAATTTTATCGGGAAATCAATAGTTTTTTAGTTACACACGATTGAAAACGGAATTTAGAGTGAAAAAAAAAAACACTTTTTCAAAGTATTTTTCGCTAATAACTCAAAAACTACGCATTTTATTAAAAAAAGTGTAATGAACAAATATGTAGCTTATAAATAAACAAAGAAAATCGTTTTTTAAAAAGTGTTGTACGTCCTAAACAAAGCGAAATATGGTTAGTGGAAGGGGACTTGTTTTGGGGGGAATACTCAAATCGATTTATTCAACGTCAAATAACGGAAAAAGGATTAATTTTACATGTATAACGCTCCTGGAGTTTTTTGTAGTACTCAAAAAGACCTTCAAAATGAGCACTTATAAAAGTTAATTAGAGCAAAATTGAAGGAGTTGTCGTCAAAAACAGATGGGTTGCTCATATTTTTTAAGGAAAAATGAGCAGTAAACGCTGTACCATTTCCATCAGAATTAAAATTAATCGTAGACCCTTTACAATCAGTTTTGTTTTAGTGTTTTTCATACAATCCTGAAGTTAGACAGGTTTAGAATGCGTATTTTTTTAATAATGTACGGTAAAAGTTGAAAACGTATTTTTCGTTATTCAAAAAAAAATTGCCTTATTTATATAATAACTCTGAAACTATGAAAGATACGTAAAAAATTATAGACAACAAAAATGTAGCTTTTTTTTCAACAAATATTTTGCTTTTTTTTTAATTCCTATAGCATAAAAAATAAAAAGAGATATCGCCGCTTGAAGTATCCATTTTAGTGAAAAAACGATCTGTCTCGAGCCCTTCGATCCTTTCCCTTTAAAAAATGAAAGACTAAAAAGGTTTTATGTGCAAACGATCTTACAGCTTTTTTGTAGGATACTATAGCTTCAAAATTAACCGAGTTATGGTAAAAAAACAATGTCATTTTTTCGGAGCAAAATAGGCTTTCTTAATTTTTAAGCAAAATGTTAGAATTCAAGTGCGCGTCAGCGTGTATAAAAGTTTATATGCAGCATAATAAAAATATTTTACATTAATATTGGTAAAAGGGTAGTTTATAAGAGTTGAAAATGGCAAAAGTAAAATATTCTTTCATCAACAATATAAGGCAATTTTTATTTTAAATTATTGCACAATTATATCATTCCAAGATTTATAACGTAATTTTTTATCATTTTTTTAGCACAGGGGTGATTTATAAGGGTTGAAAAGTGTTATGAGATACAAATTCTTTCATAAGCAATGAGGAAATTTTTATTTTAAATAATTGCACCATTAAAGCATTCCAAGCTTTTAAAAGCTAATTTTTATCATTTTTGTCAATACAGGGGTGGTTTTTAGGGGTTGAAAGGGAAAAATTCTTTTTTCTACAAAACTGTTAAAAGTGGGCTTTTTAATTGTCATTTTTGATGTTTAAAATGTCATTTTTTGACACGCGTGTTAAAAGTAAGTTATTTTTAACACTAGTGTCAAAAAATGACATTTTTAACATCAAAAATGACAATTAAAAAGCTCACTTTTAACAGTTTTGTAGAAAAAATAGTGTATGATATACGTGTTAAAAGTGATTTTATTTTGTTCGTGAAGTTAAAAAACTCGCTACGCTCGTTTTTTAATCATCTTCACTCACAAAATAAAGTCTTACTTTTAACACGTATATCATAAATAGCTATTATTAGCTGTAAGGTAACTTTTATTTTAAATAATTGCACGATTTAATCATTCCAAATCTTTAAAATGTAATTTTTTATCATTATTTTTTGCATAGGGTTAGTTTGTAAGGGTTAAATAAAGGGTCGAAAAGATCAAATATATCATAAAACATGTTCGAGAACATGGAACATTATTTAATTTTTGTGCTTGAACAAGATTTTTATCAATAAAATGCTTAAAACTTAATTTTTTCAATTTTTTTCACTTAGGGATAGTTTTTACCCCTAAAAAACGAAAAGCGTCAATCGGGCTTATGTCACTTTTGAACCTGAGCCTAAGATGAGCCTTATTCTAAATTTTCATGTAAATCAATGCAGTTTCAAAGAATTCGGAGGTTACAGCTGATTTTCACCTTCAATGACTGTACTATAACTCAAAAAAGTAAAGTTAAACCGTTTCCTAATTTTTTTTTCGGGGTGGGGGTCAGTTAATTGTTGAACTGATGTGACATGACAACAAGGCGGTGGGCGGGCAAAAAACAAATGGCAAACGTTAATTGGCTGAAATGACGATAGCCGAATATGTCATCGTTTCATTTTATAAAGTTTATTTTAGTTTTCAGTTTATCGGTTTGTAATATAGTAAATAATTATGCAAATTTCTGCATGAAGTATTAGTTTTTACAGAAATCTAAATTAAATTTGTATAATGCTATGTTGTCTTTTATTTCATTATTTAATGACGTTCCGTGTGTTTGTGCGTCTTCATTGTAAAATTTCTGTGTGACACTAAAAAAACACAACTCTACAAGCAAAAAGATGATTTTTTTTTACTTTTTCCGTTGTCATTCCTCTTCTCTATCCCTGGAAAATGTACCTATATCCGTTTATCAACAGTCGTTCCCGTCAATTAATTGTAACGGGAATGGCAATGGAGAAAGTATTATAAACGGGCCTTAAGAGCACTTACCGTCATTTAACTGGGAAGCAGACGCTCTAAGAGTGTTCGTGTCAGTTTTCAGTGTCTCCAGGGACTTTTGAATCACGGGCATATTGCGTACGAAGGCGTACAGGTCCATCATGGCAGTGGCGTTGCTCCAAATCTTCAGCTGGTCCATGACATACTCGCTGCTCTCTGTAAATCAACAATTTTATGCACGATCATGACAATAAGAGGTTTCCAGGCTAAAATTTTGAAGATATTCTAAATTACGAAACTAGGAAATGCTCGTTTTGTAAAGAACAAAACTGTCACTCACTCACAGAAAACTTACTGTTCATGGTGTTACTGAAAACTTCGGAAAACTCTTGGTAATTCGTAACCAGCAAATGTCTCGCCTGATCCTTTGTACTATCGAGATATGTGTCGGTGTCCAGTCTGGCATTCTGTAGGTGTTTGGGCAACCCATCGACACCGTCTTGAAGCTGTTGGTTACTCGAAAACGCACACACTACACAAAACCTGCGACAAATAGAAGTAATCGTTATTTATAGAACCACTAGAAGCAATCGAGTCCCGTGAGTCTACTTGTCGCCATTTAGATTTGCTTAAGATGAATTTAGCAGGCGTTCCAACATGCCTCAGATCAATTTACTAATTATTTTTCAAAATTGACTAAGAAGCTAATCTTTAACTTACAGTAAGGCCGTGCCCAGGATGATCAGCAGGGTGCCCTGCAGGATCTTCTTGCAGAGGTCCCGTTTCTTGTCGCAGGGCTGTGACCTGGCGCCGCAATTGCCACAGCACCTGCAGCAGCAGAAGAATAGGCCGCACGTCGGTATCAGTATAGCCAGGAAGACCAGGATGGCGACGACCAACAGGACACCCCAGTAGTACTTCAGGATTTCCGAGATCTGGGCGTCAGTTTGGAAGTTTATGTTCCCGTTCTTTACAGTGACCAAACCTGAAACCAAATCAAATAGAGTTATAAAAAATTATGTACTTACTTTCAAATGTTTCATTAACTAAAACCAGAATTAGAAAATAGAAATGTTCGCCAATTGCCTATTAAAACAAAATGTTTACATTTTCTAATCCTTCTTGAAGATTACAGAGTAAAAATATTGTAACTGTAATGGTGCAATGATTCAGGGTTTCAAACAAAACTGAAAAAATTCATTATCTGAAAACTGTTAAAAAAAAAACAACGTTGGAATATAGTAATTTATATGCCAGTCAATTATGTTTAAAAACTTTTACATTTTCTATCCATTCCAGAAGTAACTTTGTATTTTAGAGTATTTTCATGACCCAGTGATTAAATTGAAGGTAATTTGTTTGGGAATGGGGTCAGTTTTAAAAAAAAAACAGTTTATTGGTTAGTTGACGTTTCGGCTATATTTAAGCCTTCTTCAGGACACTAAAATAATTACAATAAATAAACATACACATCATTATACATATTGACTATTAGGATTAAAAACAGATTAAAATTCAATGATATTACAATGATGAAGGATCAAGAACCAATCACAAGGAAACGTTTACGAAAATATAATAACAAATTTATCGGGTACTTACATCCAAAAAAGGTTTTCCGTGTAACAAATAATCTAAATAATGGGGAGTAAAATAGTCTCTGTCAACAAACGCAGCGATATAGATAATTTACAAACATCGTATTTTAATCTTATAGACAGAAGTAAGAGACACAGACAGTTAACAACAATATTGAATGGTTTTTTGTCTTGGCCCCCTTTTTTCTGTTCCACACTTAAATCCTCTAATATGTTTCATTCATAGATATTTTAATCAACATCGAGTAATGTACTATTTTGATACAGCAACATACTACCTATTTTACTCCCCATTATTTAGATTATTTGTTACACGGAAAACCTTTTTTGGATGTAAGTACCCGATAAATTTATTATTATATTTTCGTAAACGTTTCCTTGTGATTGGTTCTTGATTCTTCATCATTGTAATATCATTGAATTTTAATCTGTTTTTAATCCTAATAGTCAATATGTATAATGATGTGTATGTTTATTTATTGTAATTATTTTAGTGTCCTGAAGAAGGCTTAAATATAGCCGAAACGTCGACTAACCAATAAACTGTTTTTTTTAAAAAAACTGACCCCATTCCCAAACAAATTACCTTCAATAACTTTGTATTGTTTATTCAAATTCAAAAATTCCTAAATTAGTTTTGATATTTATATAAAAACTGAGTGAAAAAATTGTCACTTGGAGGATCAATAGATTTTTGAAAGCTAATAAATATCAGACTATTATTGCATTGCAAGCATTTTCTCTGAAATTTATATAAAAAAATATATACATTTTATATATTTTTAAATACTTTTAAAATATTAAAATATTTCATGAGTACTAAAATTAAAAAACTGCCATCAGTTATACAGCGTGTCCTAGATTAACGTGAACAACGGTGCTAATTCACCTATATTCAAAAAATTTCTGAATTTTGTAAATAACTCGCATACATATTATACGATTTTGATTATTTTTGGAATGTAGACTTTTGCTTTCAGGCTACACATTCAGGGGTTATACAGTGTTTTTTAAAACTTAAAATTCCTACAAAATTGATGTATGGTGATAATATCCGTTCATAACGTTTTCCTCTTTCGGGCAATAATGACAGCTATTTTTTATTTAATAGGGCTACTTGTAGAATTTTCATTAAATGAGCGGTTTGGGTACAAAAAAATCCTTTTTAAATATCTACATTATCTTGCCACCCATATTACAATACTTAACAAAGTGCTAGTAGTCACTGATTTTGTAGGTTGGCTGTAATTTCGGTTTGATCTTTGTCATTGTACCTGCCAATTTTTAATGAATGTTTACTACGATGAGATATATCACATGTTACTTAATTTTTCCATATGGATACACAACATTATGACGAATTAGAGTTATTTACAACGTGCCTAATTTTATTGAAATAATTCGTAAAAACAAACAAATATAATAAAAAATGCTGGATAAAAGTAACAAAGTTGATGTTATTAAATTTAGTACGACTTACTATAAAAACTGTTCAAAATGGCCATCATTGTTTCTACAGAGATAAATTCGGTGAAGAATGTTAAAGGACACCCTTTGCAGTTCTTAAAAACATTTATGGCATTTTAGATAAGCCTCCACAAGTCTTCAGTGTTTGATGTGGAAGCATACTGTTGTTTTCAAAATGACTTAAAGATCTACAAAATCAGAGCCTACTAGCACTGTATACATTTAAAAAATATTTTTTGTACCCAAACCGTTCATTTAATTAAAATTCTACAAGAGGCCCAAAAACATCCAACTGGTATCACCTATCAAATAAAAATAGTTGTTTTTATTGCTCGAAGGAGGAAAAAGTTATGAATGGATATTATCACCATACATCACATCAATTTTGTAGGAGTTGTAAGTTTTAAAAAACACTCTGTATAACACCAAAATGTGTAGAGTGAAATCAAAAGTCCACACCCCAAAAATAATCAAAATCGAATAATACGTACCTATTCGAGTTATTTACAAAATTCAAAAAATTTTCACGAACTTTGTGGCCATTTAGCGGCCAAACGAAGCGATTTCGGATATAGGTGAATTAGCATAAATCTGCCAATTTTGAGTCCACGAATCTGTGGTTTCCCGTTGTACACGTTATTCTGGGACACCCTGTATAACAAAAAAAGATACCCAAGTTTTACAAAAAGAGCAATATGTACTTCATATAAATAACTTCAATTCTGATATTTGATTTACATTTGTTTGAAAACTAAAACATGTATTTTTTTAAGATCGCAGGAACGACTACAACAGATATAGTGCAGTTTTCCTTTGATTTATTTGTTTTTTTTTTCAGTAATTGGAAATCTTTGCTTAGGCAAAAATTATTTCACAACCCAGCCTTGACTGACACTTATTCCAAAATACCCAATTAAACTACAGGGAAATTATTTCCAAGATAGTACTAATCATCAAAGTCAATTTAAAACTGAATTACCATTATTTACAACAATTGATTTAACCTCATCATAATAATGCACACGAAAAACATAAGCAGACACATTTCTATGCAGCAGCTTTTATCAAAATAACGGTGACATTCTATTCGGCTAAAGCTGAAGCCATTTTTAACGTGACATTTACAAGTAACGCTCGAGGTTTTTTCGGTGCTTCCATAACGCGACATTGACATTCACATATCGCGGGAATAACGCAATTTTATGATGAGCAAGCGACGTTACGGTTGAAGAACACGACAACGTTGTTACCGCTAATGTAATGACATGGTAGAGTTAAAAGCCAAGGCTGATGACACCCTTGGACGTGGATATTAACGTCGCTTTTCGCCAAAAAAAATTGCCAACGCCCAATCCCATTTGTTCACTTTGAAGGAAAAATTAAAGCCAGCCTTTAACGGCTTTAGATCAGAAAAAATTGTTACCTCCTTATTTTTCCTGTTCGGAAAAGTACGCTGATAGAAAAGAACGAAATTGCAATGCGAGTCACCGGTACATAACCATTAAAAAAATCATGTTATCTGCCTTGGGTCTTAGGACGAGTTTTTTTGTCAATAATTTGAGGTTTGCTTGTTCCTAATATCTAGCTTTTTTTCAAACCCCGTCCACTTTGCTTCGAGACAAATCTATTTGTTGTTCTATATTTAACGATTCTCGGAACCCTCCAAAATGATACGCCCATGGAATCACATTCTCCACGCAACTACTTGTCTAGATTTGCCGGTTCAATGCCTACTTTTTTGACACTGGAGTATAAGAGGGCTCATTAGCAAATCGGCAAACAGCAATACAAACACCAGCTAGCTATAAAAATGTATTGCTGGCTATTTGCTATAGAGCCCTCATAAGCAAGCATATTAAATTTCACAGCCTAACAGAAAAAATAAGAGGACGCGCCAGCCTTAACTGGCTCTCCTCCCTGTATACGCCGTTGTGAAAGAAATAAAAACATTAAAAATAAACGACGGGCAGTTTTGAAATAATTACACGAGTATGACGTCAAAATGTAATCCAAATTATTTTTGCTACAATAAATCTCGACACAACTGGCCTGATTCCTTTTCGTAATACCAAATTATGAGAGTTTTACTAGGCAATCACGGTTATCGGCTTTTTTTTATCTGCGACACTGTAATAACAGGCCTTTAACGACACAGTTTATGTCTTTACGTATACAGAGTCATTCACGCAACAGTACATTTTTTACGTTTCTATCTAGTAAAAAATTATAAGGACGAAAGTTGTAGGGAATATTGTTGCGATATCAAAGAAATATATAATTATAAAAATACAATTGACTGTTGTAGCATTTCGAAGATATAAATCAAAGTTTTGTTTTATTGAATTGAACACCCTATATATTTGTCGTTTTGTCGATTTCTCTCAATATACGTGGCCCTGGCTCCATAGCAATCTTGATTGTATCCACTGTGGGCGGTTAACAAAAAATAAAGCAAAATGTTGTGACATTTATACAGGGTGGTCACTTGTAAGGGTACACTATTAGTATCTCCCGAATTAGAATATTAATCAACCCTGTATGATTAAATTACAAGAAAGTTGCATAATTTCTTGCCAATTCGAATTGTGAAAAAAAAAAAATGCAGATAAAGTTGCACCGTTTCTCAAATATCCTGAAAAAAACTGAAAACTGTTTTTTTTATTTTTTCCATATCTTTTTTGTTATCGAAACTAGAGTTTTGAAAATTGGTACGTAATAAGGCCATACGCTCTATTTGCTGGACCATTAAAACATTTAGGCTTCCTAGATCCTTGTTTTCAAGGCCAACTTTTTATTTTCTTATGCATACCATACCGGATTTTATTCGTTAGAAGAAGCATTAAATTTCGAATTCAACGATGTATGTAGAATATTTGGGGAAGAGGTTTTACTAAAGGTCAAAAAACGCCAACTTCATGAT